TTGTTAAAGGTGTGAACAATGCGCCACCCTCCGGTCGCTTTCTTAACACAGAAGGTGGGACTCGAGTGTGGAGAGACACTTTCACGGACGTGATCCGCCTGTCTTCGGCCTTCGAAGAAGGTATCAATCGCATCAACTTAATCACGGGGAAGCGGCCACTGCCGCGTTACACAACATTTAGAACCTGGCACGAGATCGATCTCGTGCCGTACACCACGGTCATCAGGCAGGACTGCTGGAACCTTATCCGATAAAACATCAGCAAACTCTTGTGCCAGTTTGACAACCGAATCATTCGAGGACGCGAGCTCATCCCATGACTGCGCCGCGAAGCGCTCTTCGCGTGCTGACTTTGGCTCCATCCCTTCAGGAATCTCGGGGTTGGCGAGCGTCGTCTCGTCGACAACAACACATAGTTGTTGGATCTCCCCCTCTTAAGATCACGCAGCATCTCATCCCAAGACACTTTCGGGAGCTGCGTGATGCCAGACGCGTCGCAAGGTGGACTTTCGACTTGGAGCGAATGGCTGCTGGGACCTGTACCAGTTAAGTTTACCACGCTAATCGTTTCGAATGTTGAATCAGGCGTAGCGGGTCGCGCTTGCTGTGGGGAATTAGAACGCGTGCGTCGCTTTCGACGGCGCTGAGACGTTGACCGCTGGTGTCGCGTCAGGCTGGGACTGTGAGAGCCCCAAGAGCTCCGTTACGGAGCCTGCACTAAAGGTCTTACGAGGAAGCGTATGAAGCACGCAAATTACTTGCGTGCTTAGGGTCAAATTAAACTCTGTTTATTATTATTAAGGTTAGATACAAAATTTTAAACCTTCTGTGAACCACCCAAATACGTGCTAAATAATAATTGGGTGAAATGGGGCTAAACCCCACTTTCAACCAATCAAATAAAGGCACTAAAAGATACGCTATTCGTATCTTTTCCTTATCCTACTTTATATAATATTCTCAAAATTCTCTTAACTAATTATGCATATTAATAAAACCGTTGTAATTGCCTTCGTACTTAATTTGGCGTGTAACGATACGACCCCGTAACAACAAGCGCGCCGATCAGTTGGGGCAGCAAGAAGCAGTCAAGTGTGTCACTTTCAACGAGCGAAGCTGAGCACATTTGCACTCAACTTAGCGATCCAAGAAGGCAAGTGGGTTCACCGGCTGCTGATCGAAATTCTAGCAGCGTCAAACAAGTCGGCACCTTGACTGAAGATTCTCGAAGACAACCAGTCCTGCATCAAGATGACGAAGAATCTCGTCAACCATGGTCGTGCAAATCACATCGACATTAAGTACCATCACATCCGTGATGAAGCGTGGTGAAGTGGAGCTTGAGCATTGTGAGACTTCCATCATGCTAGCGGACGTATTGACGAAGGCACTTTCGGGACCTCGTCACAAGGACTTGACGGCTGCACTCGGCATTCATGCGAGTTCGCATTGAGGGGGCGTATTGGGGGTTACCGGTACAATCCAAACTTTAAGGCTTAGTATTTACGGCAGAGTTCTTACAGGTAATTACGTTATAGTTGATTAGACGAGTAGCTTGATAGAAAGATCTACATGATTTATATGTGGACTACATATAAATCAGTTGGTAGATAGAATAAGCTCTTATAAAATCAATCACTTTCCAATTTACCATCTTCTGCTCAAGTCGTCTTCACCCTTCAAGTGCAGACTTCCTCCGCCTCCAACCAAGCCCTCGCAAGACCAAGTCTCATACCTTCCATCAGGTTATGAGCCCAAGTACGATGTCCACTGCCCAAGACGTGTCTTCCAAGGTCTCCATCGATAAGTTTGATGGGGACAACTACGCGACTTGAAGTCGTTACATGCGTGGCGTGTTCCTGACCAAGTCGGTCTGGCTCGTCGTAAGCCGTAAGACGACGCCGACCTTCGCGGGCCCTCGTCCCATAAAAGATTGCGTCAGGTCAAGCAACATCGCGTTTGGACTGATGTTGCTCCACATGGACGCCGACTATCATCATGTGGTTGATGATTGTGAGGAAGCATGGGTCGCATGAGCGCGTTTGAAGTCGCTTTACGGTGGATCGCAGAAGGCTGGGCGCATTTTTCTGAAGCGACAGCTCTTCAGTATGGAGATGAAGGAAGGCGGCAATGTGATGCATCATTGCAACGAGGTTCTCAACATCAGCGCCAAGCTTACCAGCATCGGCGCCAAGATGGAGGACGAAGACGTGGCGATCTGTTTGTTGCGCAGTCTCCCCAAGAGCTACGAGAATGTCGTGCTGAATTTGGAGATGAACAGCGCTGAATTCCGATCAAGAGATGTTGTGAGGGTGATTACGAATGAGCACATCAAGAGTCAAGGTGAGAAGACGGCATCAGTGAAAGTTGAAGAAGCGGCCAAGGCTTTCAGCACCGAGCGCGAGCCTCGCCAGTGTACGTACTGCGGAAAATTGGGGCACACGGCCAGAGCGGTGCTGGACCAAGCAGAAGGATGAGAATCAAGGTGCTCGACGCGGCGGTAGCAACCGAGGACGCGGAGTCAATAATGTGCAGTGGCAAACCAGCAGCAACAACTACGACGACGATTACGATCAAGTAGCGTTTGCGGTATCGCTGGAAGCAGGACTATCGACGGGCAAGAGCATGCCTGGAATGTGGACGATTGACTGTGGAGCAACGCACCATGTATGCAACAACAAGGCCAAGTTCACGACGCTGAATGAGCAAGATGAAGGTGAACTGTTGGTAGCTGACGGCAACAAGGCCACAATCAAGATGGTTGTGGGAACCATCATCGAACGAGTGGTTTTGCCTAAGGCTTCTCGTTACACAATTGTTGGCGACCTGCTAATGTACCAGGTCGATTGATTTGATCCTCCTCGCATTGTCGTTTCACTCGATGATGATTTACGTGCTCGCATACTCCACGAGTATCATGACAGCGCGACGAGCAGTCACCTTGGACGGGAGAAGACGTACCTCGCGCTGTCACAGGACTTTTACTGGCCCCATATGTATAAGTGGGTTCGCATTCGTTCCCTGCGAGACATGCCAACGCGTGAAACCAGCTCCGTCCTCTCAAGCTCCGCTGAATCCACTACGCATTGCCACCGGCGTGGCGATCAGTTAGCATGGACTTTGTATTTGGCTTTCCAGAAGACCTGCAGGGGCGCACTGGTATCCTCGTCGTCGTTGACCGGTTCAGCAAGATGGTGAATCTAGCTCCGGTCGCCGCATCAATAACTGCGGCAGATACGGCGACACTCTTTTTGGCCATGGTTCTTCGACACCATGGGATGCCCACTACAATCGTTTCGGATCGTGATCCCCGGTTCACAGCCGCATTTTGGTCGCAGCTGTTCGAGGTACTAGGTACCAGATTGTTAATGTCTACTGCGGCGCATCCCGAAACCGACGGCCAGACTGAATGTGTGAACCGCGTATTGGAAGATGTGCTGCGATGTTACGCCACGTCATACGAGTCATGGAGTGCTTTCATCCTCAACCGCTGACATCTCATCGATGTCCATTCTTGCACGGAGAAGTAGTCGCAAACCTAGGTGCGGGATTGACTACAAGTGTTACAAGGTGTGGTCGAGCTATTGTAGCCAAGCTACGTGTGCACTAAATGCAGAGGAAGACAAGCTCAGAGAGCTTCTACGTCTTAGGGTGCTTAACTCTCCTAGACCAGCTCGTAAGCTTGTGCCTATCGGATGTTGTAACCGTGTTTCACAGAGACTAGTATTAAAGATACAGATTCCTTAAAAAAGGAATAGAATGCTCAGGCTGTCAGACTTACAGAGCAGATTTATATTTATGTTTATCTTCTAACACTAAATATAGAAGCACTTGCTCTATACTTAGTGCTAGTCACTATTACTGGCTCTTCAGCCTGCAAACATGCATAGTCACTATACTTTAAATAAGCATAGTGACCACGTGGCTCTCTGCCACGATGCGACCCTTCGTACTTCAGGTACGGTCACATCACCTACTTTTGTACCCAAGGTACAGCCACACCACATTGATGTGGTAGGGGTGTATGTACAATACACACCTTCGTGTAACCCCGTTACAATTACACTTGAAGCTACAGATCATTGCTGACGTTTTTCCATATATTGAAACCCTACTATATCGCTCGTGCCGGCCCCAACTCCATCGAATTCCATGTCCACATGTGCTTCCAGCAATTGTATAGCATTTTGCTTCAGCTTTCTCTCGTCACAAGTCGAAGCTGCTGATGATAGAGTAAGGAGGCTGCTTACTATAAACAACAGACGCATGGAAATTCTAAGACTAAATAGGGAATTTAAGTGTCAATCAGTCGAATTTAAGCAGACCCTTTGCACTTCTAATTGATCTTTAAACGACGTACTTGATCAAGATGGGTACATCCTCGACCAAGTCGATTACCACAAGCTTAGATATTATCAGCCAATAAAGATGTATGCACACGTGGGACTCATATAGTTGTAGACAAGCTGGTTTAAGACGGAGGGCAAGAACTATAGCCATTCACGTGCTGTATTCGGCCGATATGCGACCATGTCTAAGACTTTAGGCGTATAGTACACCACAAAAGCGTCTGAAACATGGAAGTGATTCCTTGTGGGAGAACAATGGCAGAAGCGTGTCAGCTTGTCATCAAGAAATGCACAAGATTGTACTTTTCATTACGACGAACGGCTTTGTATTTCTTAGATTTGTACGAGATTGTGACTGAGATGCGCAATGCTGAGACGGTAAAATCTGCGCTCGGCACCGAAGGCGTTGCCTTCTGCACTTCACTAACCTAGCCTGGGGCGATGTTTTTTTGCATCCAAATGAACATGTCGACGTCATTGAGGCGGAAGCTTTCTTAGTGTCTTACACTGGTGCAACATGACAAACGGTTTGAATTGACTGAAATGTGCCAAATAGACTATTCCTGGAATTCAGTTTAGGAGAAAAATTGGGACGAGACAAATAAATGGACAATTCATTTTTTGCATTTTTTCTTCGTAACAGCAACAGTCATGACAAGATCTCCATCCCCCAAGCGCCTGTGCACCGGTGACAACAAGCGTGATAAAAACGGATTGGAAAGAGAGAAGGAGCTGGAAAGGGAAAAGGAAAAGGAGATACTTGAAAATTTGCAAAAGGTACAAGAAGTGCTCGAACAGTTAAGAATTGAGGAGAATAAGGAGGTCCTGGCCGTTGAGACCAAGTACATAGTCAAAACGCGTGATGTGTATGTCAAGCGCAATGAGTTGCTGTCTGAGATTCCCCACTTCTGGAATCAAGTAGTACGTGCTGTTTATCGGCTAAATGAGCATTGAGTTGCTTGACCATTACGCGCTTACTCATGTGCTGCTTTGCTTGTGCAGTTTCTGAGGCACCCGGTGGTGGGCAACTACCTCAACATGAATGACGGGGAGGAGCTCATGGAATATTTGCAGACGTTTGTCGTCTTTGTTGGTAAAAACGGTAGCTTTAAAATAAAGCTGGTAAGAACCTATGTCTCTTTCAAATAGTCTGGAAAATACTAATATATGGCCGCTGCTAGATTTTCCATGAGAACCCATATTTCTTTCCTACGATGCTGTGGAAGCAATTCGATTTATCAAAGAAAGATGTGAAGGTCAGCGCATCGAAAATCACCTGGACGGAGAGGGCTTATATGAGAAAGGCAACGGACAACTTTTTCTTCCAGGTATGATGGAATCGTGCTAGCTGGATCGGGCTTACGCCTAATCAAATGTTCGTACTGCGTGTTTTTCAGTGGATCGTCTCGACCGAAGGTGACCAGGGCTTAGCAGAAATCATAAAGGAAGAGTTGTGGAAGAACCCTCTCGAGTACTTTGTGACGGATGTACGTTTTTTGATCTTGGTCTTCAATGTGTAGACTCGCAACCTTATTGTATGTATTGCTTGTGTACTAGGATGAAGATGAAGACAGTTGTGACAAGGACGAATCAGACGAGGACGAATCTGACGAGGTTGAGGACAAAGATATAGAGGAACAGGAAGAAGAGGATGATGCAGATGCAGATGCTGAAGGCAAAAGAAACAAGGAATAAACTGTTTGTGGATCTTAAGCGAGTGTTTAGCTGCAGTACGCACAAGCTACATCGATGCAATTGGTTTGAGCGTTTTGGATTGCACTTGAAGCACTTATCATACTGCCTCGTGATGATTTAACCGCTTTTCTTCTTCACGTACATGGCACTTGGAAGCCACTTGATCGGGTTGCGATTATAAAATGACCAGTTAGGTAGAACCAACTACAAAAAAGAAGAAAAAATAATCAGACCTTGCCGTTGTCAACATGAAAGCCACGTGTCCATCTTTCTTATGGGGGGTCGGAACCTACCAGTGCACTGAGGACTGTAGCTGCCATCCACGCCTGCAACGGATACGTAAAGTCTTGCTGGAAATAGCCGTAGATCCAGGCTGGCGTGCAGATGATCACAAAGCACGCCACCAAGACTGTGTCAGCACGAGCCTGTCCCTTGTAGTCAACCATAGTTTTGTTTAGAATGCAAACTGTAAACCCTCGAATGAGTGACATGTCTGAAACGTAATAAAATACTATACAATTTAAAGTCTTGCAGTAACCTCACAATTTGCTGTCTGCGTTCCGCACGTTTATGTGACCGAGTTTTCGTGTACGTGCATGTCCGCCGATAGATCAACAAACTTTGCTGCAAAAGATTTTTTTATATCGCGCCGATCCAGCAGTGTCAATAAAGAAATTGGGTATAACCAGTCAATAGTCATGCGAGCTACACAAAGGTGTGTATTGTACATACACACCTGCTCCACACCATTTTGGTGTGACCGTGCCTTAATTAAATTGGAGTGACTATACATGTTTGCATAGTAATAAGGCTATAGAGCCAGTAATAGTGGCTAGCACTAAGTATAAAGTAGGTGCTTCTATATTTAGTGTTAGAAGATAAACATAAATATAAATCAGTTTCAAACCTGCTCTATAAGCCTTACAGCTGCGTTCTATTCCGTATAAGAATTGTATCTTTGATACTAGTCTCCCTGAGACTCGGTTGTTATTATCGATAGGCACACGCTCACGAGCTAGCCTAGGAGGGTTAAGCACCCTAAGACGTAGAAGCTCTCTGAGCTTGTCTCCCTCTGCACATAGTGCATACGTAGTTTTGCTACAGTAGTCTGACTACTTCTTCTGCAAATGGTGCATCTGCACATAGTGCGTAAGTAACGTGCCCACAGAAGCTCGGCTACACCTGGTAACACTTGTAGTCAATCCCGCACCTGGTTTTGCGACTACTTCTCCGTGTGAGAATGGACATCGATGAGAAATCAGCAGTTAGCCTGTCACAGGAACAACAGGAAGGGTTGCAGAAGCTGCTCTCTATCCTTGGCCCTAAGGGCGTAGAGTACCTCATCGCCCAGGGCGAAGAAGAGGTTAACAAGCGTTTTCATATGCTTGATGAATATAATAAAGCTCTAGTCGAGCATGTAAAGGCACATGTGCCTTCTTCAGCGCCTTTGCCCATGGCGACTATGCCGCAAGAAGTGTTCTGCAGACCAAAACCCATACAAATGGAAGTTGATAAGTTCGACGGCAAAGAAGGTGACAACCTTATGCTTTGGTTCCGACAGGTCGAGTCGGCTATGTTTATAGCCGACATCATCTATAAACCGTACCGTGTGGGCTTTGCCACGGGCAAGTTAGGTGGCTCAGCCAAACAGTAAGCATTCACATATGGTGCATTATTGCTAAAAGATTATTACATTGATAGGTTTGCTTTTCCCACATGGGCCAATCTGAAAGTTCAGATGACCCGGCAGTATGCACCGCCAAACCCAGCAAATCGTAACCGGTCGCGGTTTTGGGCCAAGGCAAGCGTGAGCTTGCGGCATATGTGCAAGAGTTGAGAACACTCATTGCTGCCATGGTCATAGACCCTATGCCTGAGGCAGTGACCGTCACGGTCTTCATGAAGGGCCTCCGAGTTGGCGTTGTCAGAACGGAAGTCTTCCGGGTAAACCCGTCCTCATCCGAGGAAGATGTTGGAGTGGCATGGAATGCCGAGACCAACTTTAACGCCGCTAGGCCTGACACTTATAACTACTCGTCTGATGAGTCTGTACCCATGGACTGTAGTCAAGTGGAGGATGAAGAAGCTGAGCTTCAAGCTGCGGAGCAGCAAATTGTGCGCAGATGTTATATCTGCAAGAGCACAGGCCATTTGATGGCAAAATGCCCTGCAAGAAAGGCATATTTGGCCTTGAAGGGCCGACGCCGCATGGGTAAACCTTCTGGTTTGCCGCGGGGAAACGGCGGAACCCAGTAAGCGCGGGGCGCCTTACTGTGGAAGAACTGAGTTCTGTTGAGCCCAGAATAAACAAGGCCCGGCCCCAAAGAGATCCGAACTCTCAAAAACAGAACGAGAATGTAAGCTAGGCTTGCTAGTCGGCGAAGGGACGATCAAGGTCTTTGATAAGCCATGGATTATTTTGATCGATTGGGGGCATCGGGCAATTATGTGCGCCGTGCCACCGTGGAAGGTAGTGAGCAGTATGCTGAAGTGCTTGTAGTGCGTGAAAGTGACACAGTCACAGTTCGCTTAGCGACGGGCACGCGTGTTGCGGTACCCAAAGTCCCGATGGACTTAAATGTAAAGTTCTTGGACTTTAACAGCATGGAACGCTGTTTGGTCTTAGACTTGAATGCGAGGTATGACCACATCCTAGGCATGGCATGGCTAGAACGTCATGAGCCATGGATTGATTGGAGGTCGAAAACCTTAGGCGCAACGCGCAATGCTCCTGGTGGGGCTCTGGAGAGTCATGAATCCACCTCTGCTAGGAAGCAAAAGCGCTTTTGGCGCGGAACTTGGACCGAGTCGGTCAATATGTTGGATGTCAAAATATCCGACTTTGTAGACACTGTAAGTGTCGAGGACAATAGTCCTGGGCGAGGCCCAATGACTGTCGATAGTGTGGTTGAGAAGCCACTAGATGGCGCATATGACATGTGTCATGAGAATGATGTTACATAATTAAACACCGTGAGTGGTGTTGGTGGCTGCAAGCCAAGATGTCAGGACATGAGTCCAAGTGACATGAGCAAGGTACTGACCCTGTAGGGCCGGGTGAAGCCAAGAGTGACGGTTGTCTTTGAGAACAACAAGGTGCAAGCACCTAGTGACGAGGTACTGGCCCAAGAGGGTCGAGTGAAGTCACAAATGGATGTTGTCTTTGAGGACAACGAGGTGCGAACACCTCATGACGAGGCATTCAACCAAGAGGGTAGGTTGCAGTCAGTAAACGAAGTGGTCTTTGACCTTGCGGTGTGTACACCTGTGGACGCTGATGCGTCGGATGCTGAAAGCATCATGAGTAGCGATGATAATATCGTGAGTGACGGTGATAGCGAACAGCTATATACATTCGTCAATGGTTTGACTGGGAATGTTGAAGAGCCGGTGGCTCTTTCGGCAATACCCGCAGTAAGTGCTCTGTTAGATCTGGACGAGCTGTCCTTTGCCGAGTTTGGCATTGCCTTACAGGCAGGCGACATCGCCGAAGTGGTCGTTATACAACCTAAGAAGGAGTTGAACTCCTCATCGCTTTTAGATAAGGCAGTGCTTGAAGATACCAAGAAGGTGCTGAATGCGCGCAGTGGATCGCAGATCCTGAAAGACACTTCGGATCCTTATTTTCCCTTGTTGAAGGAATATGGAGATGTTGTCTCCAGAGAACCTCCGACGAGGTTACTTCTGGATAGAGGTGTACGTCATGAGATTGACTTGGTTCCAGGAACCAAATACTGTGTGACGCGACAGTGGCCGCTGCCACAAGAACCATGTGACGTCATTGACGAGTTCTTTCGTGCAAAGCACGCGGCTGGCATGGTGCGTGAGAGTAAGTCTCCTCACTCTACGCCCACGTTTTGTGTGAAAAAGCCAATGGGAAGTGGCGAATAGTGCATGCTTACAATAAGCTGAATGCAGCCACTATCCCGGCTCGAACACCGATTCCTTGCAAGGATGTTCTTCAGAACAATATGGTGGGATGTACGATGTACAGTGCCCTCGACTTAGTCGATGGATATTACCAACTGCTCATGCGAGCTAGTGATATCCCGCTGACAGTGGTCAGTAATCCGAGAGGTATGCTCTGGTAGTGGTTAGTGATGCCCCAAGGGCTATCTAACGCACCTGCAACGTTTAATCGTCTAGTGACGCAGTTGTTTCGACCCCATAGGGCGTATGCACAGACATACTTTGACGATATATTCATCCATAATCGATCCGAAAATGGCAAGACTGATGTGGAGAATCACATCGAACACCTACGAGCTGTGTTTGGCTGCATGAGGATGCATAAGTTATATGACAATATTGACAAATGCATCTTCGGTGCGGAAGAGATTCCCTTTTTGAGATGCTTCATTGGGAAGCGAGGAATCCGGGCAGACCTGTTAAGGTCAAAGCCATAGTGGATTGGCCGGTTCCGAGGAACCAAAAGGACCTCCGCAAGTGGTTGTGTTTGGCAAATTACTTGCACAAGTATAGCCACAACTATGCGGAAGTGGCTAGGCCGTTGTCCAATCTCCTTGAACAGGATGTGGAATGGTGTTGGAACATCGAGCACCACGAGGCTTTTGAAGCCATTAAGGAGAGTCTCCTTCAGGTGCCAATCCTGGCTCTACCTAATCCTGATCGCCCGTTTAGCGTATGTGACGCTTCGGACTTTGCTATTGGCAGTGCACTTTTGCAAGTCGACTTTGAGGGTCGATAACGCGTTATCGCGTTTGAGTCTCGCCAGCTGAAAGCTGCAGAGAAGAACTATCCAGTTTATGACAAGGAGCTACTTGCGATGAAGTATGCTTTTGTTAAGTTCAGGGTACATACGTTGGGCTCAAGGTCGTTTGTGATCTATACAGATCATGCGCGTTGTTACGCACAGCGACACAGTCGCCTCATCTTTTGCAGAGGATGGCTCGTTGGCTCTCCTTTTTTGCGGAGTATAACTTCGAGGTGAAGTATAAGCCGGGAAAACAGAATGTTTTGGCTGACGCGTTATCGCGTAGACCTGACTATGAGCTTTCTCATCTCACTGTTGTGAGTTCGTCAGTAACGGATCGTATCCGTGTGGCGTATGCACGCGATGAGGCATGTGTTGCCATTATGCGGGAGCTGCGCAGCGCAGATTTTGAAAACTTTAAGGTGAAGTTGTCACCACGTAATCGTGCAAGATTATATCGTTCTGCACTGACCGATGGTCTGTTGTACTATAGTACAGGGTCGGATGACCAGCCTCGTGTTGTGGCGCCTCATGGTGAGGACCTCAAGTATCAGATACTTTATGAGGCTCATGATACACCACTTGGTGGTCATTTAAATCTTGAAAAGAGCTAATGAATGCTAATAGTAGCAACTTACATGTCACTTCTGCAGGCTTAAGCGGAGAGCGCGGAAGACGAGCAGCGAGCTCACGAATCGGCAACGCATGTGCAGCCAAGAGAAGCCGGGCGTC